AAAGTACAACTCTGGAAATGTGGAGTGGGAGAGAGACTTGTTTTGGACTGTGATTGTTTGAGAGTGAACTAAAAAGATGTCAAACTTGCCCAGGGCAGTTTTTACCTGACACTCCCTTGTCCAGGATTTGTGTGACTTTTTCACTCAGTGGAGTCATGTTGCAAATCAGTCCTGGCAATTTTGCAAAAGGTGGGTTGTTTAGTTTGATGCTTTGGCAGAAATAATAGATACAGAAAGAAAGGATTTTTTTTTTTCAGTTCCTGCTAGAGACTAACCAGTTATGTCTGGTAAAGGAACAGAGAAGAGACACAGGACCTAGTTGCTTTGCTTCAGGAAACTCAAATATTAATTATTTGAGTACAATACGTGGAAGTTTTCTGCTTAGAAATTTTAGTATGCTCCCTTATCCTCAATGAGAGAAAAACCTTCCACTTACAATAGGGGGTTCCTAAAGTTTTTGCCATCCCACCAGCCTTCAGTCTAATGTTAAAATACATCCCTTAAAAATCCACACACCAAACTGAACACAAATGAACACTGGGAAAAGAAAGCAATAAAACTTTATTTTTAATAAAGACATGTACAACTCCCGGTGGTCCCCAACTTATAAACACAATGGAGCCCAACATTTCTGCTGCTAAGTGAGAAATTTGTTAAATGTGTTTTGCCCCATTTTATGACTTTTTTTTTCCACATAGGTTAAGTGAATCACTGCAGTTGTTTTTTTATTATTGAAAATTTTTATTTTTTCATTTAAATATTATAAAAATACAATACAATTTTAAAATAAGATAAATTCATAACCATTGGTGCGACCCGCCCATTCCCCCCAGGCTGCGTCCACCCTTTCTTAAAACATTCCCTACTTCCCTCCTCTTTCTCTCCTCCCCTCCTACTCTTTTCCCCTCCCCCTCTCCTCTCAAGACCCTACTTCCTCTCTACACCTTCTCTCCTCTCATCCCTATCAAACCCATGAACGCAGCATAAGGGGAGTGCCCGGGCCGCACTCCTATAAACAACCATTATCTATACTACACTTACCCCCCCTCTTACCCTCCCTCCCACCCCCAACCCCCCTCCCTTCACTTCCCAGAGCAGAATACAGGGTTAATAATAACAAAATTTAATAATAAAAAAAGAAAAGAAAAAAGAAAATATCATAATTAACCTTTAACTCCATAACCTATAAGACAATTCTCTATAATATTTGTTATAATATTCATTCATAAAATAAATGAAACTTATTAATTCCATACTTTTTCTGAATATAATCTATCCATCTTCTCCATACAGTGATGTATCTTTCTGCAGTTGTTAAGTTAGCAACACGGTTGTTAAGTGAATCAGGCTTCCCCCGTTGACTTTGCGTGTCAGAAGGTTGCAAAATGTGTTCACATGACCCTGGGGCACTGCAGCCATCATAAACTTGATTCAGCTGTCAAGCATCCAAATGTAAATCATGTGACCACGGGGATACTGCAACCCTATAAGTGTGAAAAATGATCCTAAGTCACTTTTTCAGTGCTGTTGTAACTTTGAATGATCGTTAAATGAACTGTTGTAAGTCGGATGACGTATAAAAGGTCCTGGACAGTCCTTAAGGCAAGTACCCCTCACAGTTTGGGGAAACCTTCCACTAGAGACTGTGGCCATATTATATCTTGATTCCTGAGAGGCCAGCATTTTTGGCTTGTTGCCTTGAGATAGCCCCAATAAGCTGAAGCCTTTTCAGGCAAATAACGGAACATTCATCTGTACTTCTGTACAGGAATTACAGTTAAAAGCTTGGGGGTTTTTTGCATCTGAGATTTGGCAATGAATATCAAGACATAGCCCTGGATACTTATAATTATATTGGCCCTGATTCCTGTTACAGCTGTCCAATTGCTCCATTAAATAAATCCTTACAGGATGTTAGGGAAAAGTTTGTCAAAAGCCTTCCTTGCTGTACCTGTTTCTTTTGAACACTATTTCAAAGACAGGTAATCTAAACGTCTGCAGATCCTATTTATTGCCTCTGTCTTCCCACGGGCTCAGATAATAATCTTTTAAATGCAACAATGTTGGGATTTCTTAAATGTAATACAAGAAAGTATAACGTCTTGGGGCGGAAATATCACAAACTTTATTAAATCTGTTTATACGTCTTAGCTATGTACCAGCATACTAAGTCATCAGTCTTGCTATCGTTTAATGGAAAACATCTTTTAAATAAACCAGCACAATGAATGATGATCCTGGAATCTTTCAAATAACCTTAACTCCGCTTAAGCTAAAGCGTAAGCAGAGGTAGCAGGCTTAGGTATCAACCTGATCCCAGATCTCTTCAGTGAGAGAACAAACAAGCCAGCACAATGCCATAGTTGGGGGAGACCGAAATGTCACCTGAAACTTAAGACAGAAGTCAACAAGTTGGTAGCTGAGCACGTCAGAATATTTGTCCCTGTCCCAGCAGCAACTGCATTGAATTAAGTTCAGATATAGAAAGTAAGCTTATTACTTTAATGTCTATGTAAACAGGCCTGAAATCTAAATCTTTCAAGTTTTTAGGAGTCTTGAAACTTTAGCATTTAATAATGATGATGATGATGATGATGATGATGATGTTGGAAGGGACCTTGGAGGTCATCTAGTCCAGGGCTTTTCAACCTTTTCATCCATTGTACCACTTTTAAGATACGGCAACATCTGAGTACCACCAGTCGCCTAGTAAGGTGTCAAAAGCAAAAACTTGATGACCCCCCCCTCCAAAAAAGGAAAAAACTGATGACGTACAGGTAGTCCTCGACTTACAACAGTTCGCTTAGTGACTGTTCGAAGTTACAATGGCACTGAAAAAAGTGCCCCCCCAAGCCATAGCCGAGCAAGACACCTGCCTGCCCACCCAGCAGCGCTCTTCCTCCTGTCCGAGGTTTTCATTGTTGTGAGCATTTCTGTTGTGGATTGGCAGTGGGGTTGGGGTGGGGGGGGGTGTTTGGTTTTTATTCCCCCCATCTGCTGGGTGGTTGCAGCAGGTTTTGGTCACTTCACCTGATCCTGGGACACTGTGACCGTCATAAATATGAATCAGTTGCCAAGCATCTGAATGTAAATCACAAGACCCTGGATATGCTGCAACATTCCATATGATCGGCACTTCTTCTGGGCTCAGCAGAAGTGCCAGGATCAGCGCCGAGCTCCAGCTGGAGCCTGGTGCTGATCCTGGTGCTTCCACTGAGCCCTGATAGCCCCAAAGAAGCATTGATCCTGGTGCTTCCACTGAGCCCTGACAGCCCTGCAGTTCCAGCCATCTCTCGCTCAGGCTTGTGTGGTGCTGCCACCGGTTCAGATCATTACCCTCCCCCACTACCACTTTTCTAGGATGGTCGCGTACCACCTGCCAGGTGCCAATGTACCACAGGTGGTACCCGTTGAAAAGCCTTGATCTAGTCCAACCCCCTGCTCAGGCAGGAAACCCTATACAATTTCGGACAAATGGCTGTCCAGTCTCTTCTTAAAGACTTCCAGTGTTGGAGCATTCACCGCTTCTGGAGGCAGGTTGTTCCACTGGTTAATTGTTCTAACTGTCAGGAAGTTTCTCCTTAGTTCTAAGTTGCTTCTCTCCTTGATCAGTTTCCACCCGTTGCTTCTTGTCCTGCCTTCAGGCGCTTTGGAGGATAGCTTGACTCCCTCTTCTTTGTGGCAGCCCCTGAGATATTGGAAGACTGCTATCATGTCCTCCCTCGTCCTTCTCTTCATTAAACTAGACATACCCAATTCCAGCAGCCTTTCCTTATATCAGTGGTTCTCAACCTTTCTAATGCCGTGACCCCATAATACAGTTCCCCATGTTGTGGTGACCCCCAAGTGGGTGTGGCCACAAATAAGAGGGAGTAGGACAGCTAGGGAAAAGGGGAAAAAATGGCGGACTGCGTTGTTTGGCGAGCCCCGTGAAATGGTCATTCGACCCCAAATGGGGTCCCGACCCACAGGTTGAGAACCACTGCCTTATATGCTTTAGCCTCCAGTCCCCTAATCATCTTTGTTGCTCTTCTTTGTACTCTTTCTAGAGTCTCAATTTTCATGCAAGATTTACTGCAGTAATTGCAAATCTTGGGTTTAGTAAAAATCCATGAAGTTGGAGAGGGTTTTGGAAAAGGGGTCTTGGAAATATTGCTAACCTACCTTAGGAAAATCGTTGCTTTTCAGCCACACGCTCTAAAATGGGGGATATAAAATTAGCCTGCTTTAGCCCTGGACTATATGTTTCATAAACACCCTGTGTTCTGAAGTCCAGCACCTTCTGCATTGGAAAGTTAGTATTAAGAAGGGATGTTTTGCAAGAAAAAGGCAATGGGGAACACTTAATTCTGCTGTCCATCCTGTAATTCCCTTTTGCAAGCCACATTTCCCTGGGTGCTAAACACCCAGAAAAGTTGTATCTGGTCCCCAGCTGAGGTAACAGCTTCTGATGCTGAACAGGGAAGAGGGATCCAGCAGTTCTACGGAAGCCTGCTATTTCTCTTTGCTGCAGCATAATAGAGAGCAGCGTGCAAAATTTCAATATGCAAGGTGACTTTGCATAGAATTAAGTTATTGTGTCTTTCAAGTGCTATTAAGAACGCTTTTGAGGGGAAAGGTATCAAACACACTGAGTCCCTAGGAAAAATGTGAAGTTGATAAGCACATGATTAGGTCACAGCTTGCATGATTATGCATGCTTAGGCTAACATCAATTCCTTAATTCTTTAATTATAATTTTATTATATTTTTTAAAATACAGGTAATAACAAGAACAAAGGTTATAGATTTAAATTTTACAAGAAAAGCTATACCGTTAGCTAAACCATACAAATAAAAGAAGAAGAAATGGGAATGCAAGAAAAAAAATCTTATAATACCCTATAATTGCAATACAATTGAATTGTGCTGAAATGTGAGCAAAGTGGAAGTGAGTTCTCATAAACTGTCCTCTTTATTTTCTTTTTTTCTTTTTTATTATTCATTCATTCATCCTCTAGCCAAACCGGAGATTGTCACTTCGGAAAGACTTAGCAATGGCATGCTACTCTGTGTGGCTTCCGGATATCCTGCTCCTACTATTAACTGGTATGTTTGCCCAGCCACTGAGCAAAGGTAAGAGATCCTACACATTTATTTTGATTTTGGATTAAATGTAAAGAATAAGGAAGCAATACAATCAACTCTTAACATTCAAATGTGTGTTGGTTTTTTTCATGACTTGAAACCTCATGAGAAAGTAAATTTCTTGGGGTTTCCATTGGAAGTGAGGTGTGGGGTGGAGAAGGAAGGGTCTTAACCCACTCTACCCCACAGCAAATTCTGTTCTCATTGACATAATTTTCCCCTATAAGGGATGAAAGATAGGAAAAGAGACTGAACTTCTGTTCACTAATCTTGCTTGATAACTATATCTTCTTGGACAGAAGAATCTTTATTCTGGAACCTGAACTAAGATGCCTTGTAGTTCTGGGTCCAGACAGCATAAACTCAACGAAAATGGTTTTAAACAAATATTTATACTCTAACACAGTTCTAGCTGGCTACAATCCAGTCCAGCACAATCTTATAGGTGCAAACAGTACACAAGAAGGACCTTTTTAATGTGCCTTGCATTCATGGGAGTTGGAGACACACGACCGTGATCAATAAAAACAATTTAGACAGTAGTAGCCTTAGCAACAGCACTTAGACTTACATACTGCTTTACAGCCCTCTCTAAGCAGTTTACAGAGTCAGCCTCTTGCCCCCAACAATTTTTCCAACCTCAGAAGGATGGAAGGCTGAGTCAGCCTTGAGCCGGTCAGGATTGAACTGCTGACAGTGAGCAGTGAGATAGCCTGCAATACTGCATTCTAACCACTGCGCCAGTAAGGCTCTTGTGGTGGAGGGGTTCTGTTTGTGTTTACACCTTCATTAGATGTCTGTACAGTACAGGTCGTCCTCGACCTTGAGACTATTTTTTAATGATAGTTCAGAGTTACGGCAACACTCTGAAAAATGTGATTTACGAGCTATCCTCAAAACTGGAACCGTCGTACCGTGGGGTCACATGCTTGCAATTTGAGCACTTGGCGCTAGTCCTTATTCACAAGGATTGCAGCATCATATACATACATTGTAGCTCTACAACAAGAACCCTATGAGGTAGTTTGGGCTGAGACAGAATAGCCCGAAGTCACCAGCCAGCTGTTAGGCCTAAATGGGAACTACAACTCACAGTCTCCTGGTTTCTAAGCTGGTGCCTTAACTGCTAATCAAACTGTAAGAATCATGTAACATGTAATGTATCACAATTTTAGACAATAACTACAAAGTAATTGTCCATGTTTCTAACAAGATTGCACATATTTTGATTGCAGGTAATTCATTTGCAAGTGGGGATACAAATACTTGCTATTTTGGTGATGTTTTGAACATTATTGCTAATTTACCGTGTTTTTCCTATCCAAAACATTTTTCAGAAGTTATTTTAACGAAGGCCTTTTTTTATTAATAGCGGCAATCATGACATCTCAAGTTAATCATAAACCATCTCTGGTTGTGATGTTGGCAGTATATAATGAGAGTACCTTAAAGACTCTTCTGTGCCTGCATCATGGTTTGGTTTGGTGATAGCAGAGCCTCAGATGGAAGGTCCATACAGAGAGTGGTAGAGACAGCTGAGAAGATTATAGGAAGCCTGCTTCCCCTTATTCAGGATACTGCCTGCAAGCGCTTATATGTGCTTGGAGCTCGGAGCATTGTTAGAGACCCCACACACCCACTTTGCGGTCTGTTTCTGTTGCTCCCCTCTGGGAGGAGGTTTCGAAGTATTTATAGCAGAATTACTAGATTCTGTTAACAGCTTTGTTCCTTATGCCATTCGTCTTGTAAACTCACAAGATTCATTTATCTCGTCATGTAAATGTATACATCCAAACTAGATTGTGTTGTTTCTCTGGATCGTATATGTGTACGTATGTGGGTATATTTATTGTTGTTGTTGTTGTCATCTTTACGCAGTGTATAGTGGAGGTGGTTACCCTTTGAAAGCTGTATGCAACAAAATCTCATTTTAATGTATTAATGTACATTTTAAGTGACAATAAAGTCTATTCTATTCTATTCTATTTCCTTTTCTATTCTGGTTCTGTTCTATTCTATTCTATTCTATTCTATTCTCCATTCCGTATTCTATTCCGTATTCTATTCTATTCTATTCTATTCTATTCTATTCTATTCTATTCTATTCTATTCTATTCTATTCTATTCTATTCTATTCTATTCTATTCTATTCCCTTTTCTATTCTGTTTCTATTCTATTCCATTCCATTCCATTCCACTCCACTCCACTCCACTCCACTCTGACCAAAATTCTATTTATACCAGAAAGAACAGTTTTTAAGAACCCAATTCTGTTCTTAATAATTGTAAGTTATACAACTGCGATCTCTTGTCAGATAGTTGCCTAATGCTAGGTCTTCTGCCTTTCAGTCCCACAATAGATTTTGCTGATGTATACTCATGTTTGGGGTTCAGAACGCATAGGTTGAAAGTTTCTAATCTCACTCCCACCAACATGCCCTAAGTAATTAGTGAGAAGTATTGGACTTTTTATTTATATTTTGAAAATTAATGAAAAGAAATTAGGTTCACAAGAAAATAAATGAAAGATTAGCAGATTTGTTCACTTTCAAGGTATATACCGAGTTGGATCCAGATTTTAATTATACTTAGCGCAAACTGTGAAATTAATCAGATTTAAGATTGCCACGATTAACATAAGACTATTTCAGTGAATCTGAATTAAAAGTAGCCAAATCTCCCGTGGCTGCATTAGGATAAGCATTAAACTAGAATTCCCAAGAATTTCCAGGCAAGAATATTGATGGCTGCATAACTGGGATGAGAAACAGTTGGTACAAATGCCAAATTATAACCCTTGGGATACCCGTCCACTAGTTTTTCTTTTCTTGTTTTTCATCCAGATGATTTTTTTTTCAGGTGTCCAGATTCACCAAACGTTTCTCCAGCGAATGTAAAAACTAAATATAGAGATTCAACATTTTCTTCCTTTCCAAGATCATTGTAGAAAGTACTATTCAAATTCAAATCAGTTTAGTACAGCCACATGGCCAGAAACAGTAAAATATCCAGTTTACTTGCATACGTACATATATAAAAAATGCCCTGAGCGTGATCTAATGATGAATTAGAACACATATAATAAAATTAATTTTAAAACAAAAAAAACATTAGAAAAATGTTTCTAAACCTAACATCTTATTTATGTTTCTGACAAATCCCCAGTGCTGCTGCACAGAATCTAGCCACCTGCGCCGTAATTACAGCCGGTTTGTGCTTAAGCAGCCCCTGGAGATAAGCAGTGTTGGAACGGCCAGGATACCTATCAATTATTGGGAGGATATATTTTTTCAAATATCTCTATAGAAAAAGAGCATCGAAGGAGTATGTGTCCAGCTGTCTTCTACCTATCCTGAGCCACAGCAATAGGGTCTTTCAACCAATGGTGTCTTTTTATACTTGCCGTACAGAACGGCCAATGGAAGCACATGGCACCATGTGAGCAAAAATGACTCCAACTGGCTAAGATAACTGGTGGGAATAACAACGTGTCTAATAGAATCTGGAGCCAGAAACAGCAGAGCTGTCCCTAAGTCTGCTTGCCTCTCAATGTACGCTAGTTTTTCTTTTCTTGTTTTTCATCCAGGTGATTTGTTTTTTTTTCCCCCAGGTGTCCAGATTCACCAAATATTTCTCCAGCGAATGTAAAAACCAAATATAAAGATTCAACGTTTTCTTCCTTTGGGAATATAATTGTGGAAAGTACTATTGATACCAGCATGTTCAAGAGCAATAGCACCGTCACCTGTGAAGCTTCCAATACCATTGATAGACGTTCAGCTTTCTTTAACTTTGCCATTAAAGGTAATTTTTGTGAGTAGTTTCTGAAACCGAATACAGTATTTATTCTTGCAAGCTTTTGGAAACTTAAATCGCCAAGTTTCTTCATGATGTTGATAACCAAATGCATATATTTTTGTCACAACTTATTCCATAATACTTGTTTTTTGCATTTTATATTAAGTATTCTAAGAAACGTAAATATTTTTACCTTTTCCTACAGAATGAGATGAAAAGCGGTATTTAAATGCTTAAATCAAAACATCCCAAAAATTCATTTTTTTCTTATTATAGGATTATTATTTTGATAATGAGGTATTGGTCAAAAGTAGGTATGTCTGCATTCACAGGTAATTCTCAACTTACGACTGTTTGGACTTCAAGTTACTTATGACCTGTCATCAAAGTTAGGTTGTGTAATTGCAGTTTGGATGCTTGGCAACCTTTTCCAATGCTCTGCGGTCATGTAATCACGTTTTGCAAATATTTTTGCTCTTTTCTGGCAAAAGCGCCCTTTGGATAAGCTGGATTCAGTGACCACATGATTTGCTTAACGGCCATGTGATTGACCATAATAAAATATTTGTCATATCGAGTCTGGTCACATAGTAACTTGACTTAAGACCAGAATAACTTACAACTAAAATTTCAGGCTCTGTTGTGCTCACCTGAATAGATCACACTGAAAGCTCCTTGCTTTAACATTGAATTGAATTGGAAGTCACAAGGTCTGGGGACAAAACTTAAAATAAAAACTGGCAAGGGCAGGTAAAGAGGCAGTCTAACCAAAGAAGTCAAGGTGACAATTTTAGGAGCTTGTCAACTTAAAATACCTCCTCTTCAATGCCAGGTTGTTTCCTGGTAAAACTTTGGTTACTAAGGATTTAATTCTGAAACAGAGCATTGACCTGATGTATATAACAGACACGTAGCTGTCAGAAGAATAAAGAACACCTCTGCCAGCTCTGGACCATTCTTTAAAACAGCCGTCTAAGCTATGGTCCAGGACAGGGGTAGGCAACCTTGGCTCTTTTACGACTGGTGGTCTTCAACTCCCAAAATTCCTGAGCCGCTGAAATCCACGAGCCTAGGACAATGCATCTCAACTTCAGCAACTTTGTGTGAATTTTAACTCCCAGAATTCCTCAGCCAGCTTTACAGGAGTTGAAGTCCACACATCTGTAAAGTTTTCAAAACTCAGAAACACTGGTCTAAGATAATTCCATCTCTCTGATCAGAGACTCCATTCAGCAATCAGTACATTCTGAGCCAGTGTAGAAACATTGCTACTATAGCATCCATACCACTACCTGACACCCTCTCTTCTTTAATTAGCCAGATAATCTTAGGCATGGTATTGGATTACCTTAAGCCTATTGCCCTAGAGCAGTGGTTCTCAACCTTTTTAATGCCGCGACCCCCAACCGGTCGTAAGTCGAGGACTACTCAACCGGTCGTAAGTCGAGGACTACTCAACTGGTGCAGCACCGTTTGCAGAATGGGACTTTTGGCGGGCTCAGCAGGGCAGAGACAGCCTGGACAATTCCTATTGGCTTTTGAAAGCCAATAGAATTAGACTCTATTCAAGAGAGTCTATTCTGTTGGCTTTCAAAAGCCAATAGAATAAAAGGGAGTAGCACAGCTAAGGAAAAGGGGGAAAAAAATGGCGGACTGCGTTGTTTGGCGACCCCCATGAAATGGTCATTCGACCCCAAATGAGGTCCCGACCCACAGGTTGAGAACCACTGCCCTAGAGATTTTACATGTTTATGTGAGGTTCTCCAAGCAGGAGTAACTAAAGGTAACATATCCATCGTGCCAGGCAAAGGTCTGTCCTAACTAGTATCTGGCTTCACAGATACATCAGGGCACAATATTTTGTTTGAGTGGAACTTGTGGTCTGAAGTTGGAGGAACTCCATTCCAGTCATGAAAAACTCACTTCTGACCAGTTTTTTGATCTCCTGGAAAGATGGAGTAAATGGTTAAAATGGATTGATGCAGGATCTGAGTGCTTTCTTAACTATGTTTAAGGATTTTCCCACTTTGACAGTACTATCGATGCCTTGGTGGATTTTGGAACACAGAACCTGGTATTGTCACCGTAACACTTAAGTGCCTTCCTCCCTGAGGTCAAGAAGGTTTACTTGCTAGCTGAGAGTAAAGCAAATTGGATGTTAAGGATGGATCAGTTCACACAGGACTTGGACTCATCTGAAATCCTGCTCTATAGTAGTGGAGGCAGTGAAGAGCCTAATGCTGGGAAAGACTGCGGGCAATAGAAGAAGGGGATGACAGAGAATGAGGTGGCTGGATGGAGGCCTCCATTGTGTCTGCACAAAACAGCCTTGGTTTTGCACACTGCGGAATTAGTAGAACGTTGTGTGGGGAGGAGGCAGAAGAGTCAATGAACCCCTGTGAGTGATTTCTATCATTCATTGTGGACAGTGTCAGTTGGATCTGTCTCAATGTAGATTTTGTCAGAAGGGCAGGAAGATGAAAATTTTGGCACATCTGCTCATCCTGTTATTTTTGAATCTTTTTTATCAGTCAATCTCAAAGTTACGGACAGGGATAGAGAGAGATGACGACTAGCAGATGTTTATTTGACTTTTGCTTCGTCTGGCTAATTAATTAAACCTTTAGGGCTTGCACCTATGATTAAGAGGAGTGACTAATGTGTCTGTATTGTAGAAGAGGAGTTACAAGATTATTGAAAAACAAAGCCCTTCCCGGAGAAATTTTGTACAGCTATAGACAGTCTCAAATACTGTACTCCATTTCTAGAAGGCTTAATGGCTCTATAGCTCCAGATGCATCCTAATATTGATTAATAATAATGGAGCCGTATTAGAGTTCGTATTAGTGAATCTCTAGTATTGATACTATCAACCATGGTAGTCTGTCGACCACTTGATAGGATTGGGGACATTATTTCATCTTGATTCCAATTGTTCCTGTTGCACCATATCTACATGATTTTGAGGAGACTACGATCCAGTACCTGGGCTGTTATCATATAGTAATCAATAAAGTTCAGTCTTGTATCTTATGCTTTTTTGTTGTTAGTTGCGAAGTCATGTCTGACCCATCGCAACCCCATGGACAACGTTCCTCCAGGTCTTCCTGTCCTCTACCATCTTCTGGAGTCCATTTAAGCTCATGCCTGCTGCTTCAGTGACTCCATCCAGCCACCTCATTCTCTGTCGTCCCCTTCTTCTATTGCCCTCAATCTTTCCCAGCATTAGGCTCTTTTCCAGTGAGTCCTTCCTTCTCATTAGGTGGCCAAAGTACTTGAGTTTCAACTTCAGGATCTGTCCTTCTAAAGAGCAGTCAGGGTTGATCTCCTCCAAGAATGACTGGTTTGATCGCCTTGCAGTCCAAGGGACTCGCAGGAGTCTTCTCCAGCACCAGAGTTCAAAAGCCTCAATTCTTTGTCGCTCAGCCTTTCTTATGGTCCAACTTTCACAGCCATATATTGCAACTGGGAAAACCATACGTACTTTTGTTGGCAGGGTGATGTCTCTGCTTTTTAGTATGCTGTCTAGATTTGCCATAGCTTTCCTCCCCAGGAGCAAGCGTCTTTTAATTTCTTGGCTGCAGTCCCCATCTGCGGTGATCTTGGAGCCCAGGAAAATAAAATCTGTCACTACCTCCATTTCTTCCCCATCTATATGGCAGGAATTGAGAGGGCCGGATGTTAGTCAACATCTAATTAAAGCCATTGGTGAATTCTTCCCAAGATGAGATTAGAAGGCCTATTGAGGGAATTTTTGGGGGGCAAATAAGAAACTGTTTTGAGGATTGGGGGTTCAGGTTGCCTTTGGGTGACAGTAGATTCACAATGTAGAAGAGCTCCTTCATTTTCAGTTATCCAAACATTGACAGGTAGCAGCTGTGACAAGGAGCTTTTTCAGACAGTTATGGCTAGTAATGTTCCAACCCTTCCTGAGCTGGTTGGATTTGACAGTGAATATTCATGCCTCCGTTACTTCTACAATACTATCTGATTTAGATAGAGCTGCCCTTGAAAGTATCTGGTGTAATTAATGCAAAGTATGGCAATTAAACTGCAAATTAATGTACAACACAAGGATCATATAGTGCATATATTAAGATTGCACGAGCTTCCCAGGAATCATGTAAGATGCTGGTATTGACCATTAAAGCCTTAAATGCTTTGAAATCTGATGATTTAAGACAGTGGTTCCCAATCGGGGGCTGTGAGACGATATTCTGGGGGGGGGGACTTGGGTTTAGCAGTTTCAGAATTATAGTGTATATGCACAATTTGTTATTTTGAACTTTTGTAAGGCGTGCGAGAATATATCACGCGTTCTAGGGGTGTGGGGTGTAGAAAAGATTGGGAGCCGCTAATTTAAGAGATGGCTTCACTTAGTAATACGGGACATGGTGGCACAGAGGCTTAATGATGCTGGATGTGCTAAGCAATTGCCAGCATTCTGGTGATTCGAGTCCAGCTCTGTAGGACAGGGTGAGCTCCCGTCTCTTGTCCCTAGCTCCTGCCCACTTAGCAGTTCAAAAGCATTTTTTGCGAGTAGATGGATATTGTTGTTAATTGCGAAGTCGTGTCTGACCCATCGCGACTCCATGGACAATGTTCCTCCAGGCCTTCCTGTCCTCTACCATCTTCTGGAGTCCATTTACGCTCACGCCTACTGCTTCAGTGACTCCATCCAGCCACCTCATTCTCTGTCGTCCCCTTCTTCTATTGCACTCAATCTTTCCCAGCATCAGGCTCTTCTCCAGTGAGTCCTTCCTTCTCATTAGGTGGCCAAAGTACTTGAGTTTCAACAGGATCTGGCCTTCTAAAGAGCAGTCGGGGTTGATCTCCTCTAGGACTGACCGGTTTGATCGCCTTGCAGTCCAGGGGACTCGCAGGAGTCTTCTCCAGCACCAGAGTTCAAAGGCCTCAATTCTTTGGCGCTCAGCCTTTCTTACGGTCCAACTTTCACAGCCATACATTGCAATTGGGAAAACCATGGCCTGGACTATACGCACTTTTGTTGGCAGGGTGATGTCTCTGCTTTTTAGTATGCTGTCTAGATTTGCCATAGTTTTCCTCCCCAGGAGCAAGGATCTTTCCAGATGCGATTGGTGGAGGAGTGGCAGGGGAAAGTCCCGGATGAGCTGACACTGCAAGCCAGTTGGTGTAAGCTAGTTTGCCCTCTTGTGATGCACCGGTGCAACAAATGAACTAGCGACTGTCGGCTGCCAGGATTTCTACTGTGTGCATAACATTGGAGCTTCCTGGCCTTGTATGCCATACGCTAAATAAATAAAATAAATAATAACCTAATAATTATTCTATCCAAATGTTAAAACCAGAAGGAGAGTCCTCTTTGAAGATACCCTTCAAAAGGCTCTTCTTTCTGGATACTGGAGAGGACCTTTCCTATCTTACCTCCAGACTATAGAATAGTGTTTGTCAACCTCAGCAGTATTAAGATACATTGACTTCAACTTCCAGAATTTATATACTGGCTGGGGAGTTGAAGTCAATGCATCTTTAAAATGCTGAAGTTGAGAAACCCTGCTACGGAATCCTTCACTACCTGTGTTTGACATCTGCTGCTGCAATAGCAATAGCACTTAGACTTATATACCGCTTCACAGTGCTTTACAGCCCTCTCTAAGTGGTTTACAGAATCAGCATATTGCCCCCAACAATCTGGGTCCTCATTTTACCGACCTCGGAAGGATTGAAGGCTGAGTCAACCTTGAGCCGGTGAGAATCGAACTGCTGGCAGTCGGCAGAATTAGCCTGAATTATTGCATTCTAATCACTGCACCACCACAAATCTTCAACATTTATAAATCTTAAAGGCCATCTTTTTCATCAGTCTCTTAAAGCATTTGAATAAATCTTAAAAGCCATCTTTTTCACCAGTCTCTTAAAGCAATTGAATGTCAATTTTAGTGTAGAATTAATTAATATTACTGATTTTCATATAATGCTTTTGTTTTTTAAAGTTTGCCAGCTGCCTTGTAGGCTTGCCAGCATGAAAGCAATTTATAAATAAGTGTATAAAAATAAAAAAAATAAAAAACCAAATTGCTAACAAGTTTTCATATTTTTACATGTGTCTGTAGAACAAGAAAATAGTCGCAGCCTTTTCACTCCATTGTTAATTGGCTTTGGTGTAGCAGCAGGACTGATGTGTGTTATGGTCATAATCCTTGTTTATAAATATCTCCAGGTAAGAATTGTTTGCAATTTTGTCTTGTTAGAATGCCATTTTTTGCTGCCACTGCATTACCAGTTTAAGTACTTGAAAAAGTTACGTCTGTATTCCAGAAACCTAAATATGAGGTACAGTGGAAAGTGGTCGATGAAATTAATGGAAACAACTATATCTACATAGATCCAACACAGCTTCCATATGACGAGAAATGGGAATTTCCAAGAAACTGCCTCAGTTTTGGTTAGTTTGCAGATATTTAATCTTCCTGGCAATCAAATAATGCTTTTAGTACCCTTGTTGTTGTTGTTGTTAATTGCGAAGTCGTGTCCGACCCATCACGACCCCATGGACAATGTTCCTCCAGGTCTTCCTATCCTCCACCATCTTCTGGAGTCCATTTAAGCTCACGCCTACTGCTTCAGTGACTCCATCCAGCCATCTCATTCTCTGTCGTCCCCTTCTTCTATTGCCCTCAATCTTTCCCAGCATTAGGCCCTTCTCCAGTGAGTCCTTCCTTCTCATTAGGTGGCCAAAGTATTTGAGTTTCAACTTCAGGATCTGGCCTTCTAAAGAGCAGTCGGGGTTGATCTCCTCTAGGACTGACCGGTTTGAACGCCTTGCAGTCCAAGGGACTCGCAGGAGTCTTCTCCAGCACCATAGTTCAAAGGCCTCAATTCTTTGTCGCTCAGCCTTTCTTATGGTCCAACTTTCACAGCCATACATTGCAACTGGGAAAACCATGGCCTTGACTATACATACTTTTGTTGGCAGGGTGATGTCTCTGCTTTTTGGTATGCTGTCTAGATTTCCATAGCTTTCCTCTCCAGGAGCAAGCGTCTTTTAATTTCTTGGCTGCAGTCCCCATCTGAGGTGATCTTGGAGCCCAGAAAAATCAAATCTGTCACTACCTCCATTTCTTCCCCATCTATTTGCCAGGAATCGAGAGGGCCGGATGCCCTGATTTTGGTTTTAGTACCCTTACATCAGTGATAAATATTTTCTTTTCCTAGTCTATTTTTTATTGTTTTGATTTACCAGTTCATTCCAGAGAAGGGATCCATCCTATGGTATCTCAGTACAAAGGCAGGATCAAGGAGCTAGGACAGGGATAGGCAACCTTGGCTCTTTGATGACTCGTGGACTTCAACTCCCAGAATTCCTGAGCCAGCCATGCCTGTCTGAGGAATTCTGGGAGTTGAAGTCCACAAGTCATAAAAGGGCCAAGTTGGAAGACCCTTGATCCAATCAGTAAAACCCAAAAATCAAAGTTTCATTTTTTTCCCCCACCTCAAGCACAAAGTCCAGACACGGTTTCCAAGTAGAAACGAAAGTAATTGTGGTTGTTTTTTTTTTTTTCCTTTTATCAAAGCAGTCGATTTAGCCCTCTCTGCTAACTCCACCAGCTTTTGCAACCGTTCCTCCATTGTGGGGATCGAAGCGTCCCTCCATTTTTGTGCATCAAGTAATCTTGCTGCCCGCAACATCCATAACCTCAAAATTTTCCAAATCCTTTCTCCCAAGTCTTTTTCCCTTAAACCCAACAGAAAAGTTTACATGAGGTCAAATTTTGTTGATGATCTGTTTGGAGGAAGCTTTGTGCTTATCTTTCACATTTTGGGGGGGCCCTTTTAGGCAAGATTCTAGGAGCTGGAGCTTTCGGGAAAGTGGTTGAAGCTACTGCCTACGGTCTATTCAAACCTGATGCAGCAACAAGAGTGGCAGTGAAAATGCTCAAACGTAAGTTCCTTGGATTTCCTTTAGTTTATTTTTAAAATCTCTTCCAAAGGTTCCTATAACCCTGTTTTCTTAGAGTGATTTGCCCTCCGAACCAAAGCAGACATCAAGCACATATTATCAGCAGCCGAGTATCAATATCAAACAAATGTCTATGGAGATTCTCAGTTATCCAGGTCGTGGTTGACCCATAGGTGCTTTTTCAAGGGGCAACTGGACTTACTTTCTTTTTCCTTGAAGATGTTTCACCTCCCATCCAAGAAGTTTCTTCAGTTCTGACTGCAGTCAGAGCTAAAGAAGCTTCTTGGATGAGAAGTGAAACGTTTTCGAGGAAAACATTATTCTCCCAAGCGCCTGAAGGCAGGACAAGAAACAACAGATGGAAACTAATCAAGGAGAGAAGCAACCTAGAACTGAGGAGAAATTTCCTGATAGTTAGAACAATTAATCAGTGGAACAACCTGCCTCCAGAAGCGGTGAATGCTCCAACACTGGAAGTTTTTAAGAAGAGACTGGACAGCCATTTGTCCGAAATGGTATAAGGTTTCCTGCCTGATAAGGGGGTTGGACTAGATGACCTCTAAGGTCCCTTCCAACTTTATTATTATTATTATTATTATGGATCATCGCACAGTCAGCCAGATGTTCAGACTGGATTTGGCATTTTGTCTACCTATCGAGTCCTTACCAAGGACCTGGGATAGGCAGATGTGGATGTTTGATGGTATTACAGGTATCGTCGCAGGATTGAAGCTGTTCCTAGTAAGGCTGCCTTTTGTAATTGACTAATAGCGAATTTGTCACTGCCAATGGTGTTCAAGTGGTTATTATGATTATTATTATATAATATTATTATTATATAATAATAATCATTGCACAGTCATTTTTGTCTACCTATCGAGTCCTGAGATAGGCAGATGTGGATGTTTGATGGTATTACCGATATCGTCGCAGGATGGAAGCAGTTCCTAGTAAGGCCACCTTTTGCAATTGACTGATGGCGAATTTGTCAAGTCCAATGTTGTTCAAGTGGTACTCCAGTTGTTTTGGGATTGCACCCAAGGCTGCTGTTGTTGTTATTATTATTATTATTATTATTATTATTATTATTATTATTATTAAAAACAAAGGAAGTCCAGATGCCCCTTGAAAAGGCATTTTGGGACAATATGAAAGCTGGGTATCAGGTTGCTGACAGTACTACAGAAACCTTCATTCTAGAGGCTGAAGATGAGCTTGGCAATCCTATGAAGAGAGATATCTGGTTCTAGCTTGGATGGCAGGGAGAAGAATAGAGGAAAATAGGAAATCATGAGAGCAGACTGAAAGTAGGCCACAGATTGGCCACACTGGAAGAAGATTGTTTCTTTGAACTTCCTCATCCTGGTCAGGAGGCGTTCAGAAATAAAATGCCCTGGGGAAATAGCTAGTTCTGTTCTTGGATGGAGAATTCCTTTCTTGTCAGGTAAAGCTCTTGACAGTTCCCAGTTAATAGAAGAAGTCTGAAAACAAAAATAAAACCTTTTTCATTGCCTAAACTGTGGAGTGCTATGAAACGTGGCCACATCTGGAGACAGGTAACCACACTGAAAGCATGCGTGAGCCAAAACTGGGTGGTCTGAGTGTAGAGTGTTTAAGCTTCCGTGAAGAAGCAAAGAGAACAAAGAAGCTTCATTAAAACCTCTTAGTGTTCTTTTTATTTTTGTGAAGAGGAAAGAGGTAACCAGAATTTTTTCCATGTTCCATTTCCTGTGGAAAGGAAAACAGTAAAGTCAGCACCATCCCTCAATATTTACTGTAAAATATCAACTGTTCTTGAAACCATTTGAAACTCGGATTCCTTAAAAAAAAAAAAAAAAACCCTCTGAAGCTTACCTTGAACATCACATGGTCTTGATTAATTCTCTGTAAAATTACAAAGTAGATCAGGAGGCCTTCTTTGGAGAAGAATTTGCACCAACCAAGTTGTTTCCTCAGAAAAGTCAATATCCTAAATAACATTGCCTTATTTTGGGGGACAGTTGGAGTGAATTGGGTTTGTCCCTTAAGAGCAGGGGTGTCAAACTCGCAAAGTCACGTGTCACGACGCGACGTATCACGACTTTTGTCCCCATCGCCAGCATGGCAGTGGTGGGATTCAGCCAGTTCGCACCACTTCGGCAGAACCGGTAGCTAATTTTTTATTGCCCAAGGGCCAGAACGGACTTCCGGAGGCGGCATCCACACAGAGAACCGGTTGTTTACATATTTGAATCCCACCAGTGCGGCAAGGGGTGGGCGCGGTTTCGGCATGACGCATCTGGCCCGCGGGCTGGCAGTTTGACACCCCTGTTTAAGAGCTTCAAAATTAAAATATATAGTAAGACATTTTCAAAACCAGTAAGTGCACTTGTTCATATATCAAAGTGAGGTTGCTTTTTGAAGTTGTGAGGCGCTTATTAAATAAAGGTCAGTCTGCGGTGTTTTTGAGCCTCCACAAAAGGAGACTGCCAGATTCTGCTACTCTGACTTGACAATGAAGATAGTGTTACTACTCATGACTTTGAATTCTTGTCTGAACTGACTTGAAAGGCGGGCATCAATCTTGCAAGCCTCAAAGGACTTCTCCCTCCCCCCTTGCCTTTACTTTCCAGAGAAGTCCTTCTGAGGTGTTTGCGTGTCCCTATTGCCTTTGCCGGCTGAGATGCCTCTTACCTAACCAGCCGCCCTGGCTGCAACTCTCCCTCCCTCTCTTTCTCTCTCTCCCTCCCTCCCTCCCTCTCCCTCTCCCTCTCTCTCCCTCCCTCTCTCCCTCCTTCCCTCTCTCTCTCCCTCCCTCTCCCTCCCTCCCTCTCTCTCTCCCTCTCCCCCTCCCTCCCTCCCTCCCTCTCTTCTCTCTCCCTCCCTCCCTCCCTCCCTCTCTCCCCCTCCCTCTTCCCTCCCTCCATCCCCCTCCCTCTATCCCCCTCTCCCTCCCTCCCTCCCTCTCTCTCTCCCCCCTCCCCCCCTCTCTCTCTCTCGGATATTCCTGCACACCATTGTATCATGGAAGGAAAGAATCTGACATAATGCCCCAGGAGCATTATACACCTACTGGCACTTGTGGCCCTTTAAGAGCTTGGTATAGGTATTTATTATATAGCATCCAAAGTGTAATTGTAGCAGAGATCATAAGATTCAAATCAACAGGACAAAAGCAATAACAGTAAACCACACCGATGCATTAATCATGTGTAATGGCACATAATGGTACTCAAGTGTAATAAAAACCTGAACCCATCACCATCATGTCAAAAAGGATCACAGTGATAGGCTCGTCCAACCTACAAGCTCCTATGTCCTTCAAAGACATAGGAAAGAGCTGCGGGGCCAGGGCCAAACAAATCTGCAGGGGTTTGTTGTTCCAAAGGGCAGGTACAACAGCAGCCTTAAAGCCATTCACAAAATACTCAAAATATTGTGGTGGCTATAAGCTGGTTGCTTTCCCTCCTGGCTCAGGAATTCTGGGAGTTGAAGTCCACGAGTCATAAAAGAGTCAAGGTTGCCTACCCCTGTGCTAGACCCGCCATCATTTTATTCCCTAAGTATGTTCCTGGCCTCTATTTGCTCAGAAGAATTTGTGTATATTAACTTAGCTTCCCAATCATTTATTTAAATTATTTTTTTTTTAAAAGCTAACATTACATAGGTAGGACTTTTGGCATCTGTCCAGCAATATGGGACCAGATTCATTCTTGTCATTGGACATTGGAATACTACAGGGGTCTTCAAACTTGTCAACTTTAAGACTTGTGGACTTCAACTCCCAGAATTCCTCAGCCAGTTCCTCAGCCAGCATTGGCTAGCTGAGGAATTCTGGGAGTTGAAGTCCACAAATCTTAAAGTTGACAAGTTTGAAGACCCCTGGAATACTACATAATAGGCTTGTTTGTTGGTTTTTATCCTACCTTTACTGTTTTTTTTTTACACTGTAAACTCAAAAATGGGAAACGTATCTAACATTCCTCCTTCCTTCCTTTATTCACGTCCATTTGTTGAGTTCCATCTTTTCTTTTCTAGCCAGTGCTCATTTCACCGAAAAAGAAGCCTTGATGTCAGAACTGAAGGTGTTGAGTTATCTTGGCAATCACATTAATATTGTCAACCTGCTTGGAGCCTGTACTGTTGGAGGTAGGATTTTGACGGGTGTTTGAGTACCTTCAAAAGAAAAGAGAGGGATGTCCATTCACACTTCAGAGTTGACTGAGTATCTGAGGCCAAGCAAAGAGGGAAAAAGCTGGTTTTCATTTCTCCTGGGACTCGTTACTCTGGCACCCCAAGGAATTCATAATATCTGTGTTGTTGTTGTTATGTTGTTGTTAATTGCAAAGTCGTGTCCGACCCATCGCGACCCCAAGGACAACATTCCTCCAGGTCTTCCTGTCCTAATGTCTGTGTATCTCAGCCTAAATAATTAATCCTTCCATTTTGAACCGAGTCGGCATACTGTACTGATGGTCACCTTACTTCAAGATGGGGAAGTGTCATAAAGACAGAATGGGCCTAATCTAAATATAAAAGAGCCATCAGCGTGTTCAGGTAACACAAAAGTTTGCAAAGCTTCAAATACTAATCAAGAGCAAACTGGAAGAGCACTCCAAAGGCTCACGATAGACATATAATGCAGGCTTACCTTTTGTGGGTGGAGAAAAAAAAAATGGAGTATTTTCAGAGTGAATTCATTTGACTTAACAAGAATACTGATCAGGAGCCTTCAAACTGTGTGCTTTGTTTTGATTATGTACTGTATTATGTAGTAAATAAAGCTATCTGTATCTTTATCTGTGTCTTTCTGCCCCAACTAGTGGTTAAAGGTCTTTTTATGATGTCCATCTCAGCGTAAACAAGCAGTAATTTTACTTTGACAAACTCTCTAGAATAGTGTTTCTGAACCTTGACAATTTTAAGGCATGTGGACTTCAACTCCCAGAATTCCACAGCCAGCAATTCTGGGAGTTGAAGTCCACATGCCTTAAAATTGTCAAGGTTCAGAAAAACTGCTCTAGAAGGCTAGTTACCAAAATAAGCTTTAGGTTAGTTAAGAGAATTGTTACGATCTACTTGCATCATCCCAGCATTCAATAATTGAAATTCCAGATAATAATATTATATATTCCATTTTTTTATTAGACGCCAGGCTAATAAATATTTTGTACTATAGAGAACATGATTCTGCCATTTTTTTAATCTTTAATATTTTCTAAAAGTCACAAGCATCTGGCTTTCAGTCTTAATAGGCTGTTTTGTCCAAATGTGTGCTTTTTTCCCCTATTACACTAAGAACTATAATATTTAATGTTGTTTCTAACATTACTATATGAATAATAAATGGGCTAAATCAAAAGAATAAGTGTTAAAAGCCTGTATTTGGAACGGAGATGTTCCTTCAGGAAGGAGACTTTAAAATGACGCAGATGTATCTGGTTTGTGCCATTATCACACAGTTTACTTTGTGTGTGTGTGTGTGTGTGTGTGTTTGCACTGCAGTACTATTGATGTGCAGGAATAATTAATTGGAAATGACCACATTTTAATTGGGATGAAAACCCAGTTTCGGAATAAAGATGCTGCTGATGTAATTTCGCTCTGACTTTTCAAGCCAAAATCACAAATCCGTAGTGTGGTTTGAAAAGGCCCATTTTTGTATATGTAGACAAATAATCTTTTTATTTTAATTTAAAAAAAAAAGTCTCAAACAGAATGCAGAATTCACCCACTCTTCAACTTCCTTTACATCTGCAGGTCCTACTCTGGTCATCACTGAATATTGCTGTTATGGTGACCTTTTGAATTTCCTAAGGAGGAAACGGGAATCCTTTATTTTCCAGAGGCCTGAAGAAACTGCTGTTTATAAGAACATTCTCTATCAAAAAGAGCACATGTAGTAAGGCTGTATTGTCAGAATTGGCAGTTATTCCCAGGGAATCACAGTGCATTTTTGTTTGCTTTTGGCTTTTACAGATTTGCGCCTCTTTTACGAGAGGTGGGCAGGCAGGGAAGGGTTGGGTTTTTTTAATTTACAAATTCACTAATTCTTCAGAATCGTGTCCAGTACGGTATATATACTCTATGCATCTTTCATGTAATCTTATTCAATAGTCTGGGTGAAAATCCACCAGATAAGCTGATTTCTGTACAAAGATGCAGATTCTGCATTAATGGTGCCAGTCTAGCACTTAGTCTTCTATTTAAGAGGGAGTTTCAATTATTCTTCTGATGTTATCGTTAAGTTTTATACACATTCATCTGGGGCTGAGCAACAGTTCATTGTCCACATACTATATATTTCAAAAAGAGAGGTAGAATGGTAGAGAGTCTAGGTCAGGAGTAGGCAACCTTGGCTCTTTTATGACTCGTGGACTTCAACTCCCAGAATTCCTGAGCCAGCCATGCTGAGGGGAAAGGGAGAGGTTTCCAAGCTGAGCCATGCTGGCTCAGGAATTCTGGGAATTGAAGTCCACGAGTCATAAAAGGGGCAAGTTTGAAGATCCTTGCCCTAAACCAGGGGTAGGCAACCTTGGCTCTTTTATGACTCATGGACTTCAACTCCCAGATTTCCTGAGCCAGCCATGCTGATGGGACAGGGAGAGGTTTCCAAGCTGAGCCATGCTGGCTCAGGAATTCTGGGAGTTGAAATCCACGAGTCATAAAAGAGCCAAGTTGCCTACCCCTGACCTAGATAATGACAATAGGTCAAGATACTTGTATAATGGTTTCACCTGAATAGCTGGATTGAGTAGTTCACACTGGGGGATGTATTTTTGAGTAACTTTGATGTGTTAAACTTGAATGGAAACTAAGTTTTTGTCTTTATTTTGTCATGAAAAAATTGTAAGACACAGCTGTGGAAACATGAGTATTGTGATTTGAGATCAGAAACAAAGTTGGGGGTTTATAATTTAGCACTTTGCCAAACCATAGGGAGCCATAGAGATGGCCGTGAAGGGAATATTCAGAATCTTGTAGAAACAACATGTGCAGAAGCGTTCCTTAAGTTGCGAGAAAATAGGTAGAATTAAGAACAATGACTCCTCCCTGACTCAGTGGGGTGGGGTGTAAGAGGGAGGGAGGGTAAAATACAGACAGACTTGTAATAGTGTATTACTGTAACCCAGGGATGCTGGTTCAGGAATTCTGGGAGTTGAAGTCCACAGGTTATATAGTGGCCATAGTTACCCACTCCTGCTGTAACCTATAGAGCAATGATAACGAACCTTTTAGACACCGAGTGCCCAAAACCCACCCTGCCCCCCACCCCGCCCCACCTTGCCCACCACAACCCTGCCCTGCCCCACCCTCCACCCACAGGGCCACCTACCACCTCCACAGCCCGCCGCAGATTGCCCAGGTTGCCCTGTCGCGCCATGGCCACACCCTCCACCCGTGGCCTGCAGCATCATCTGCGCATGATGAGACGTTAGGGCAGAGTCTTGTCCCTGCTGCCCAGCTGCCATTCTTTGGCTGCGTTCCTTATCTGGGGGGGCTGCTGGTATGGAGGGGGCTGTGGGAGGAGATGGGGCTGGGGCGACGGCGTGTGTGCCCACAGAGAGGGCTCTGCGTGCCACCTCTGGCATCCATGCCATAAGTTCGCCATCACTGCTATAGAGTCCTATGGAGTTGGTTTCCTGATATGTTTCCATTATAAGGCAAACAGAGGCTCTAGAATAGAAAATAGCTTTCTAGGAAAGCATCAGTTTTAATACAAACTACTGATTTAAGATATTTGCAATCCAGACAGGGAGCATTTATATCTTAAACACAATGGGCACAGTAGTCGGAGTTTAATAAGAATATCTAGGGCAGTGGTTCTCAACCTGTGGGTCGGGACCCCATTTGGGGTCGAACAACCATTTCACGGGGGTCGCCAAACAATGCAGTCTGCCATTTTTTCCCCCTTTTCCTTAGCTGTGCTACTCCCTTTTATTCTATTGGCTTTTGAAAGCCAATAGAATAGACTCCCTTGAATAGAGTCTAATTCCATTGGCTTTCAAAAGCCAATAGGAATTGTCCAGGCTGTCTCTGCCCTGCTGAGCCTGCCAAAAGTCCCATTCTGCAAACGGTGCTGCACCAGTTGAGTAGTCCTCGACTTACGACCGGTTGAGTAGTCCTCGACTTACGACTGGTTGGGGGTCGCGGCATTAAAAAGGTTGAGAACCACTGCTCTACAAGAATCTGAACTACTAACAGTCCCAAGCAAATTGGTGGTAGATAAAGAGTCACTGGAATTCAAGGTGGGCTGGACTTAACATCTCTTGTGGGTACGAAGGGACTCATGACTGATGATGCATTTGACCCTTCCCTTGGGCTCTGCCTGGTCATATGCTACAGATCCCTTCTAAGTGGAAAAGAAGCCGCAGTGCTTCACTTTGCTTGAGAACAAGGATTTCTATGCCTGCCTATATAGAGGCCCAGTTTGCAAAATGAAATGGCCATTTCAAGGAAGATCAGCCTTGACATTTTGGAGATGGCAAGGTGCCTTGTGTTAAAACAAAGCAACTCGTATTGGTGAAGCAAAACAGCTCGTTGAAGTGGATTGTTGGGACAAATCTGCTTAGTTCGAGACTTACAAATTCATTTAAGAATGATAGTCCAGTTCATTTCCTCCGGGAATCTTTTCCAACTAACCCATTGGGTCACAAATATTGTTCTATTTAATTATCCAAATTATTCAGGCCCACAGCAACTGTACTTACTATTACACGGTTTCCTATCAAAGTGCTAAAGAAATCCATTTCTTAGTTTTTTGAACTAGCCAAAGTTGGCTTGGATCTGTCAGCTAGTTAGACAAGATGCAGATAGCTATATGGTCAGGTGCTCCAAGCTAAAAAATATCAAAACCTTTTACTTTTTAAATGATTTTTGCCCAAAGTGTGCAATATGAAGTAGAAATTCTTTTAAGAGGTTTAAATAATCAGATAAAAAACTTATCAGGTCAAGATAAACTATTCCTCCTAACAAAAAAAATTACCTGCACACAAAATGACCTCTTAACATTACGATCTGCTACTTTCTTATTTAATTTGTGTTATTCAAACAAAGTCAGTGACAAATCATTTCTCAGGAGGTCAATCAATTAGTAAAAGGAATTTCCTACAACAAGAATAGCTTTTAGAAGAGGGGAAAGCTTTTTGGCTCCATAAAGAAAATTAACCTTCTTCATTCAGCTCAAATAACCTATTATTTAAACTGTCTTTTCATGATTAATTGTAAGATCCTTTCCCCTAAAATGTCAGAATTCAAATATAGCACTCTTCAGTCCCATAGCCAAATATCTTCACCTTTCAACAGGTTAATAATAGATTTCCATCTCTTTTCAAGAAATGTGGATATTTAGCAACTGAAGATTTTTACATGCTTCCTTTGCTCTTATAAAAGATGTTCTTTATTTGAGATGCAAAGAACTCCGTGTATGGATTAGTCTCATATTTCTTCTGCTTTCCACACAGTGATGCCACCAATGAGTACATGGACATGAAACCCGGGGTTTCTCAAATCGTCCACGCCAAAACCACTAAAAGGCTAGGTAATTTGGGGGGGGAAAAAGGGTGGGAGCTTTTGTTCTGAAATGGTTGATATTTGTTTACACATAACCACTTAAAATAAAATTTAGGTTAAAAAGAAGTGAAAGCAATTTTACAGTGTTATATTGGCTGGGAGAATTTACATTCTTTTTTTTGGTTTGTTTGTTTTTTTTAAAAAAAAGCTAAATGACAGTGTATCTGAATAGCATTTCTGTAGGGTCTTGGTGCCATGCTCTGCTGATAAAATGTCTGCTCTGTTTCCAAATGGCATAATTTCTCCACTTACTGTTTCCACATGTTCTGCTTAGGGTCATTGGCTAATCAGGATGTCACTGTTGCCATTTTAGAAGATGATGAACTGGCTCTGGATGTTGAAGATCTATTAAGTTTTTCTTACCAGGTAGCAAAAGGGATGAGCTTTCTTTCATCTAAAAATGTAAGTAGAAACTCAAGAAATTTTTTTTTTAATTTTTTTTTTATTTTAATCAACAAGACAAAACAAAACAAAGCAAAACATAACATACATACACACACAATATATACTCCTCCTTTTTTTAACAGCAATTTCATAATGGTAATCTATTATTTACATTTCCTCCTTATTCTTCTTTAGAATATTTGTCCTTATAGCCCCGTTATTTCTTATTTACATTTTTCTCCCTTCATGTTCTACTTCTTACTAAGAATAATTCATATTATTATTATTATACATTATTATACACATATTTTCACTTTTGACTTTTCCATATTTATTCTCCTCTATTATTTCTAGCCTCCAACCAGACATACCACTTGTTCCATGTTATATAGTACTCTGTATCTTCCTTTTCTTTTATCTCTTTTGTTAATTTGTCCATCTCTGCACAGTCCAGGATTTTTCTTATTACTTCTTCCTCTGATGGTATATTCTCATTTTTCCAGCACTGTGCATATGCTATTCTGAAACTCAAGAAAATTGATATAGACAGACAGACAGACAGACATTAAATTGTCATACTTCCTCCCAGGAAAGCCTTTCGTATAAGAATCATGATATTCTCTGTATTTTCGTTGTTAATAAATCTTCTTCTTGTGCCATATCCGTTATCGGATGTTGGCGATAATGTTGGCGATCCTGTTTTTATCAGCAGCCGCACAAAAAAGTGCTGCTGAGTTTTGTCCAAACCAATCCCTTAGATTTTGAAGCCACGACGTTCTTCTTCTGCCTGGACCTCGTTTGCCTTCCATCTTTCCCTGGAGGATGAAATGGAGTATGCCGTATTTTTCTGGGTGTCGCATCACATGTCCGAAATATTCTAATTTTTGTTTTTTAATTGTTTTGATGATTTCCCTTGGCTTTCCCAGACGGCTTATCACCTCTTCATTTCTGATCTTGTCAACCCAGCTTATATGTAACAGCCGCCTGTAAATCCACATTTCAAATGCTTCTAGTCCAGGGGTAGGCAACCTTGGCTCTTTTATGACTCGTGGACTTCAACTCCCAGAATTCCTCAGCCAGCCATGCTGGCTCAGGAATTCTGGGAGTTGAAGTCCACGAGTCATAAAAGAGCCAAGGTTGCCTACCCCTGTTCTAGTCTCTTCAGGTGGCCTTCTGTCAGAGACCAACTCTCTACTCCATAGAGCAGGATAGAAAAAATATAACAACTGACAAGCCTGATTTTCAGTCTTAGGCTTTTAATAAATAGAGAAGTAAAATCCCTGTATTATCCTGTAAAATCATTAGGTCTTTGCCCGTATATCAGATAGGCAGTGTGTAAGCACCAATTTTTGGCAAGGCATCTCCAGTTGCAGATAGGTAAGAAACCTGCAAGTTCTTCAGTGCCCGGTTACACATAACTTCTAAAAATGTTATATTGCATGTTTGGCCTCAAACATGCAATGTCTTGCTGTGAGGAGCCCTATGTTACTTGAAATAAATAAGCAAAAACTGTCGATATCCACAGTCTTTTGTACTGGCACCTGGAGGAGGGATCCTTCTATTCCTCCTCCTCCTCCAACATCTGTAATTTCTGTCAATTTCTGCGATAAGAATTTCCAAATCTAAACAAGATCCAACCTTGTGGGCTGGTGTAGAAAAAGGAGAAAATTAGATATAACTCCTCCCAAGATCAAAATCCTCTCTCCAGACTCAGAAAGAAGAAACCAAATGATACTGTGGCCCACAGATTCTGTCCCGGAAATCATAAGATTGTACTTTAATTTAGAAATAGTGAATAAACACATTCCTAACCTGAAGTTTACCTAGAAGCCTATGCCATTGGTTTCCACAGAACATTCTTCTGAAGCATGTTTTGACCTATCAGAGGGTTGAGAAAGGAAAAAACCAACTGCCATCTTAAATGATATGACTTGTGAACAGAAATGTGTACAAGATTTAAGATACATACATGGTTGGAAAAGATGATTAAAAGACAGATAGAATTTAAACCAGAAGTGTTTTTATTAGGAATACTAGGGCCTAATTATGAGAAGGAGAATGAATATTTAATATTGCATATACTGACAGCAGTGAGAATAGCATTTGCCCAATGCTGGGAAAATGAAAATTTACCAACTGAAGAGGTTTTAATTAAGAAAATCTTAGAATGCGCAGAAATGGATAGATTGACCTTGGAGATTAAAGAGAAAGAAGATTCAGTTTGCTTTAGAACATGGGATAATTTTTACCAATGGTTAGGAAAACAAACTAGTGAGAAATGAATGTGATATGTTATTTTGAATATATATTAGTAAGAAAAATGGTATGCATTGACTAACTGATACTGTTTGTGATTATTGTTTATTACATTTACTACAATTATTTATTACTATATCAAATTGTTAATTGAACATATGTACCCGGACAATAGTCTGTTTGCTGAAGATTGAAAATGTTATTGGGGGATAACCCCAATGTTGATCCTCATCCCAGTCCTGATCCTAACCCCACCCTAAACCTTAATCCCCATCCCGATCCTATTCTATCCCTAACCCTATAAAATTCAATAAAATCTTTTAAAAAATGTGTACAAGATTGAAATGCATATTTTTTGTGTCAATATAGGACCATCTCGTATATATAATGACTGCATGTACCTGTTTTGTGTTTTCTTGAATCCTTATACTCTTACCTTCAAAAAACTTACCTTCTGCTATGAATCACTGAATATAGTAATCTGCAGTGCTGATGGTTATTTTGGTTTATTTGCCTAACATGTACATTCTTGAAATGTATTCCTTCAGTGCATTCACAGAGATCTGGCAGCAAGGAATATATTGCTTACACATGGACGGATAACAAAAATATGTGACTTTGGCCTTGCAAGAGACATCAGGAATGACTCAAATTACGTGGTGAAAGGAAATGTAAGTATGTTTGATCCAACCCACTCTTTCTTATCTGTTGGTGGTAGCATCAAACTCTAGTCTATGGACCATAAATCACACCAACTAGCTCTGGAGTAGGTGATTCTTCTCTCTAAAGTTGGAATGTTTGGGGAGGGAACACCCTGATTTGGCTGGTTTCCCAAACAGAAGCTAAAAAGGAGATTCTTGCTGACTTGCATTAGCTTGGTTGTAAATGGTCTCCCCGATATAAACTTCTTCCCAATGTCATCTCTTCTTTGCCCTTGTAATCTCTTCCTGTATATTGGTGATGCAATTGAAGCAGTCTTCCCTGATAATAAAGATTCAGTTCATCTAAGGTAAGGCCACACTTGGAATACTGCATCCAGTTTTGGTCACCACGATGTAAAAAAGATGTTGCGACTCTAGAAAGAGTACAGAGAAGAGCAACAAAGATGATCAGGGGACTGGAGGCTAGAACATATAAGGAACGATTGCTGGAATTGGGTATGTCTAGTTTAACGAAGAGAAGGACGAGGGGGGACATGATAGCAGTGTTCCAATATCTCAGTGGCTGCCACAAAGAAGAGGGAGTGAAGCTATTCTCCAAAGCACCAGAAGGCAGGACAAGAAGCAGCAGATGGAAACTAATCAAGGAGAGAAACAACCTAGAACTAAGGAGAAACATCAATGTCCAGTAAGGCAACACTGCAAACTTTGAGTGTGCACTGTGGCTGAGGAAGTATTTATATACTATTCCCATCATCTCCAGCAAGCAAGCTTATTCATATTAAGGTTCTACATCCCAATGTATTGATACGTTCATATGAAATTCAAGCTTTTCTCCAAGGCGCCTGAAGGCAGGATGAGAAGCAACGGGTGGAAACTGATCAAGGAGAGAAGCAACCTAGAACTAAGGAGAAACTTCCTGACAGTGAGAACGATTAACCAGTGGAACAACCTGCCTCCAGAAGCTGTGAATGCTCCAACACTGGATGTTTTTAAGAAGAGACTGGGCAACCATTTGTCCGAAATGGTATAGGGTTTCCTGCTTGAGCAGGGGGTTGGACTAGATGACCTCCAAGGTCCCTTCCAACTATTATTATTATTATTACTACTACTACTACTACTACTATTATTATTATTATGGATCATCGCACAGTCAGCCAGATGTTCAGACTGGATTTGGCATTTTGTCTACCTATCGAGTCCTTACCCAGGACCTGGGATAGTCAGATGTGGATGTTTGATGGTATTACAGATATCGTCGCAGGATGGAAGCAGTTCCTAATAAGGCCGCCTTTTGCAATTGACTAATAGCGAATTTGTCAATGCCAATGGTGTTCAAGTGGTGCTCCAGTTGTTTTGGATTGCACCCAAGGAGCCTATTACTATTGGTACTACCCTTGCTTGCTTTTGCCACAGTCTTTCTATTTCTATTTGTAGGTCTTTGTATTTTGTTATCTTCTCCAGTTCTTTCTCGTCTATTCTGCTGTCTCCAGACACTGCCATGTCCACTATCCAGACTTTTTTGTCTTTCTTATTGACAATTGTTAAGTCTGGGGTGTTATGTTGCAGGTGCTTGTCTGTTTGAATTCTGAAGTCCCAGAGCAGTTTAATTTTATCATTTTCTATGACTTTCTCTATTTTATGATCCCACCAGTTTTTGCTTACAGGCAAATGATATTTTTTGCAGATCTTCCAATGCACCATTGTTGCTACTTTGTCAGGCCGCTGCTTGTAGTCAGTCTGTGCAATCTTCTTGCAACAGCTTACCATTATTATTATTATTATTATTATTATTATTATTATTATTATTATTATTATTATTATGGCTCATCGCACAGTCAGCCAGATGTTCAGACTGGATTTGGCATTTTGTCTACCTATCGAGTCCTTACCCAGAACCTGGGATGATGGTGATGATGGTGGTGATGATGATTAGGCTGGAACACAAAAACCTGTGTTTTTTCCTTTTAGCAGATTTTTTTTTTTCTGCCACTGCTTTTTCCCGTTAAATTCAAAATGGGACGCAGGCATTTCAGAGAGCTAACCAATATTATTACACAAAAGCACGCAAACTCGTGTCTGAAAGCCCCTTAATAACAACAGTGTGCGCTGACCAAATGAACGGTGAGATCAGATACAATTTCTAGCCTCTGGCTAATTATCCACAACTTGGTTGCAGGATAAGAGCTTGCAGATGGACAGTAGGTAAATTGCATCCCATTTGCTTGGATTAGGAGCTTTCGCTCTCTTGAATTGCCTGTTCTGTGGTCGGAATGATTTAGAAAAATCTGAAGAAGGCAGAAGACGTTCCTTCTCTGTATCTGATCTAACCTAAAGCACATGTTAAGGAAATACCGATCCGTCTCAGAAATGACAGGAGTCAGCATTTCCTCTGGCTTTTAGCATGAATGTTTACATTCATTCTTGATCTAGAGTTTACCACTCTAATGTAAAGGCTTTGTTGCTTCATAGAATTCATAGAATAGGAATGAAGTTTACTTTCCTAAACTTCAAAATAAATTTGTGGTTCTTGTATCACGCAGTGGTTATCATTGGATGAAATGTATAATAAGATCCATTAAAGTAGTCTGGTTTACACTTCAGTAACAAAGCCAACAATAATAATCAATACTTTGCTATAGAAATTGTAACAAAGAACACGAATTGTAGAGTAGTGATTAAAAAAACATAACACCCAAATTCCAGAGTGGTTTTTTTTTTTAAATTTAGTCCAAGTTGTGTCCAAGATCCAACTTTTGCTTGATTACTTAAAACGGCTTATATGGTTCTTTGGGTAATAATTTAAAGCTGTGTTTACAAGATTTTGACTTGAAAGGATTTGCAACTGGATGAAGACATGAATTTTAAATTCATAGAAATACAGAATATATGGGATTCATGAAAACAATAGCCGTAGGATACAGGAAAATGGTTTTCCTCAAGTTAAAGTCTTTGGTCAGTTTAACTGGAGGATTGTGGCAAATTAAATCTAATGTATACCAGGCCACACAACTGAGAATGTGGCGCTCAGATACAACTGCAATAAAACTGAATCAGGGTCAAATAATAGGGTATCCCAATGGAGCAGCCAGGAAAGGAATTCACTCACTCATTCATGAAAAGCAGATTGTTAGTCACTTCTATTTGACAGATTGAAGTTTCAAAATCCTTTGAAATAACATTTCTTTCAATATCTTGGTGGGATTGTTTAGTATTTTATATGGACAATCAGTGCCCATTTCTACGTTTCCTCTCTGATAGAATCAATTTGCTGCATAATTATTAAATAACGTGTATTATTCATCAACAGAAGCTTTAGCTAACAAGCCCAGAAGCTAAATTTTAATTTAGCCCGGGGTTGAAGTTAGCAGCATGTTTAAGAGTATTTATAAAGTTTGGGCACTATCCTTAATTTATTAATTTACTGACCATTCCCTCCAGAATCAAATGTGTTCATTCTGAAAGGGAGGGTAAAAGAGAGACAATAATTCCCACTTTTTGTTTGGTTTCAATCTGCTCTTCCCATTGCTGATATTCTTCCCCAAAGGAAAAAAGTACAAGTTCTCAGGGGCATTTGGTCTCTTAATTGTTGAATGGGAACAAAAATAGTATATTAATTTTTAATATTCTTGTAGTGTCCCTTCCAGCAATAGCAGACTGTTTTTATGATATATTTGATAACATGCAAATTTTTCCTTTGCTCCTGGGGAGGAAAGCTATAGCAATTTTAGACAGCATACTAAAAAGCAGAGACATCACCATGCCAACAAAAGTACGTATAGTCAAGGCCATGGTTTTCCCAGTTGCAATGTATGGCTGTGAACGTTGGACTATAAGAAAGGCTGAGCGCCAAAGAATTGAGGCCTTTGAACTATGGTGCTGGAGAAGACTCCTGTGAGTCCCCTGGACTGCAAGGCGATCCAACCGGTCAGTCCTAGAGGAGATCAACCCTGACTGCTCTTTAGAAGGCCAGATCCTGAAGTGGAAACTCAAGTACTTTGGCCACCTAATGAGAAGGAAGGACTCCCTGGAGAAGAGCCTGATGCTGGGAGAGATGGAGGGCAATAGAAGAAAGGGGTGACAGAGAATGAAGTGGCTGGATGGAGTCACTGAAGCAATAGGCGTGAGCTTAAATTGACTCCAGAAGATGGTAGAGGACAGGAAGGTCTGGAGGAACGTTGTCCATGGGGTGGCGATGGGTCGGACATGACTTAACAACAACAACAAAATTTATAACAATAGGATTAATTAACAATTACATGTAGTGAAAGTTAACGGAGGCATCAGACTAAATGTTTAATCCGTTGAAACCTCTGTCAAATAATTGTTGACTTTCACCTTGGGTAGGGTAAGATCGTTTATCCATTATTTCTGTAACACTTCCTTCCTTTGTCTACCCAGGCACGGCTTCCCGTCAAATGGATGGCACCTGAGAGTATTTTTGAATGTGTGTATACCTTTGAGAGCGACGTTTGGTCTTATGGAATTCTGCTTTGGGAACTCTTCTCTTTAGGTGATCAAATATGTCCTATATACTGGTAGTCCTCCACTTACAACAGTTCACTTAGTAACTATTCATCGTTACAACACCATAGAAAAAAGTGACCTGTGACAATTTTTCACACTTGGATGACTGTTGCTGCATCCCCAGGGTCATGTGATCAGAATTCAGATGCTTGGCAAATGACTCCTATTTATGACAGTCGTGGTGTCCTTGGGTCATGTGATCCCCTTTTGCGCCTTCTGGCATACCAAGTCAGTGAGGGAGCCAGATACATTTAACAACCACGTTACTAACTCAACAGTTGCAGGGGTTCACTTAACATCTGTGGCAGGAAAGGTAAAACAGGCAAAAACTCTCTTAACAAATGTCTCACTTAGCAACACAAATTTGGGGCTTAATTGCGATTGTAAGTTGAGGACTACCTGTATTTGTTTCCCGGATGTTTTATCACTCTCATTTTAAAAACATAAATCCATTTAAAACAGAGCCTCTTGCGGGGGGGCTGAAAATTTATGTATAATAATAATAATACGAATTATTCTTAGTAAGAAGTAGAACGTGAAGGAAGAAAAATGTAAATAAGAAATAACGGGGCAATAAGAACAAATATTCTAAAGAAGAATAAGGGGGGAAATGTAAATAGTAGATTACCGTTACGCAATTGCTGTAAAAAAAAGGAGGAGTATAAAAAAAAACAGAGCCCCTTGGACTGGGTGGTTAATAAATACAAATAAATATGTAATTAAAACGATACACTAATGGATAGCCTCTTGTTGAATAGGAAGCAGTCCCTATCCCGGAATGCCTGTGGATTCCAAGTTCTATAAAAATATTAAGGAAGGATACAGAATGTTTAGTCCGGAATACGCCCCTCCAGAAATGTGAGTCTGAATTTATTTAACATTTCAAAACACCAATTATCAGATTTTGATGAAAATGCTTGTTTTATTTTAGGCTGGTTTTTTTTTAAAGTTTCAGTAATAGACTAAATCATAGGTACCTTCTCGCATTTTCATATGTTTGCCAATTTTGTAGAATTCTGTTTGAATTGATACCGGGGAAAAGAAACAGAGTTACAGTTAGCCATGGTGCTTTCGTTTCGTCCCATTGTGACCACACGTCCTGCTCAGTCAATATCCCACATTTATTCATGCTCGCATGCATTGTCTGAGGAAAGGGGACAACTTGCCATGGCCAACTCACTGGGGCCGACGCGCCGTGGCAAATTCACCACATACAACTCACTGCGGGACGATTTAACAATTCTATTTAGTTATTTAAAATAAACTAAAATTTATTTTAATTTTTACCATTTACATTTCATTCTGTTCTTCCTTTTGCACCCTTTCTTTAATTATTCTTTTCATAATTTCTTCGGTATTAGTGTAACTTTTCTCCCACAAAAAAAATTGTCCTGTGGAGCGTTGGCCATGGTGAGTTGGCCATGGCAAATTGTCAGTAGACCTTGTCCAATATTTCCAAATGTTTTCAAATTAACCCATTGTGGTGTGACCTCATATGCATAGAAGGTCCATGGAGGTTATTTGATTTCTTTATGCAAATAGCAGCGATCTGAATAACAGCAACCATCATCACCACAGTTAAGCCAAATTTTATGTCCATTTCACTATGGTCTGGTGCAACTGGCTTTCACTGGTGTATAGCCAGTTCATCCATTTAATAATTGATCTTGTCTAGTTTATGAAGAGAAGGATGAGGGGGGACATGATAGCCATGTTCCAATATCTCAGGGGCTGCCACAAGGAAAAGGGAGTCAAGCTATTCTCCAAAGCACCTGAAGGCAGGACAAGAAGCAACGGGTGGAAACTAATCAAGGAGAGAAGCAACCTGGAACAAAGGAGAAACTTCCTGACAGTTAGAACAATTAACCAATTCCTATCTCAGTACTTAATAAAATAAGTTCAGCTCTTCTAGAGTTCCTTACGATGTACTTCAAGGAGATATGAACCCTTGCAGACTGTGATACTAGCATTCATTCGCATTGGGAATAAAAAAAAATGCATATGCAATTCCAGCACACTCCATAGCAGAATTCTCTCAGTGTTTAAGGAATATAATATAAAAGCACAATGATTATCCTTGATATAGTACTGTGTGACAAATGGGAGGCTGGGTCTTTAGACACACGTTGCATTTTTCAGAATTCTTTTGAGAAGGCATTTTCATGCTTTTGGTGATTAAACTTAACGGTTGGCTTTGGAAAAATGAACCAAATTGCATGCCTATGAATTTTTCTCAAAGCTCTAAAAACATTCTAAAAATTACGACTGATGTTCATTCTTTTTTATACATACAATATTTTATTAAGTTTTATAAGATTAGGGGAGGGATAGGGTCAGTATAGGTATTGGGGTTCAGGGTGGGGTTCAGGGATGGGGTTGGGATAGGGGTAGATACAACAATGGGGTTGGCCCCAATAACATTTCCAAGCTTTAGCAAGCAGACTATTGTCCAGGTACATATATTCGGTAACAGTAATTAATGTAATAGTAAATAGCTATAGTCAATAAGAATAACAGTAATCACAAAGAGTATCAATTAATCAGTAGATATCATTCATCTTATTAAATATCAATATTGGAAAAATGAAAACATACCATCTGATGAGCTCATAATCAGGAAAATTTTAGAATGTGCAGAAATGGACAGAAGCAGTAAATGCTCCAACACTGGAAGTTTTTAAGAAGAGACTGGACAGCCATTTGTCCCAAATGGTGTAGGGTTTCCTGCCCGAGCAGGGGGTTGGACTAGATGACCTCCAAGGTCCCTTCCAACTTTACTACTATTATTACTATTATTAGAAAGAAGACTCAAAGTCTATTTTAAAACATGGGAAAACGTCTATCAACGGTTAGCAAAACGAACTAGCGAAAAAGGATTGTGATATTTAAGAAGATGAATGATATCCATTCGGTTCATTCTAACTGTTTCTGTAGCTTCAACACCATGAAGAGTTGCTGGGATGCCGATCCTGTGAAGAGGCCAACCTTCAAGCAAATTGTACAACTGATTGAACAACAGATTTCCGACACCACAAGTCATGTGAGCATTGAGTATTGCGGCGAAGCTCCCAAAGGGAGACCACGGGGGTCAACGTTGGGTGTTCGTTGTTCATAGATCTTTTTTATGGGGCGTTCCATTCGTCTCGTCCAAAAGATAAATCATATAACTTTCAGATAAAAGCAGGGACCTGGCTTTTGAAAGAAGGTTGCCCTTCAACTTTATTCAGCACGCCTGGTGGGCCGCTGAATTTTTTGGGAAGAGGTTGAGTTTGAAGTACAGCTTTATCAAAGCTTTAAAAAAATACTAAACGGTAAGTTTAGAGAATTGGAAAAGGGACCCATTCTCTTTCCCGCTATACCAGTGGTTCTCAACCTGTGGGTCGGGACCCCATTTGGGGTCAAACGACCATTTCACGGGGGTCGCCAAACAACGCAGTCTGCCATTTTTTCCCCCCTTTTCCTTAGCTGTGCTACTCCCTTTTATTCTATTGGCTTTTGAAAGCCAATAGAATAGACTCTCTTGAATAGAGTCTAATTCTATTGGCTTTCAAAAGCCAATAGGAATTGTCCAGGCTGTCTCTGCCCTGCTGAGCCCGCCAAAAGTCCCATTCTGCAAACGGTGCTGCACCAATTGAGTAGTCCTCGACTTACGACCGGTTGAGTAGTCCTCGACTTACGACCAGTTGGGGGTCACGACATTAAAAAGGTTGAGAACCACTGCGCTGTACCAACCATAGTAAAACAGAAGGATACAATACAAACCGTCCTTGACTTATGGCTACAATTGAGCCCCCAACATTTCTGTTGTTAGGTGGGTTTTGCCCCATTTTACAGTCTTTCTTACCACCATTGTTAAATGAATCGCCGCAGTTGATAAATTAGTAACCTGGTTGTTAAGCGAATGCTTTCCCCATTGAGTTTGCTTGTCAGAAGGCCGCAAAAGGGGATCACGTGACCCCGGGATGCAACCGCGGTCGTAAGTATGAACCCGTTGCCCAGCATCTAAATTTTGACCCACACGATCATGGGAATGCTTCAGAGGTGGGAGCTGTGAAAAACGGTCCTAAGTCACATTTTCAGTGCCGGTGTAACTTTGAAAAGTCACTAAATGAACGGTTACAAGTCCAGGACTTACTTATAGAAGTGTCAAAACACACAGCCTCCCCCAGTTATTCAGCAGAAGTTGATGAGCTTTGACAAAAGTGTTCTTCTCTTTCTGTCTTTTTGTTGACTTGTGCAACAACTTTCCACTTTATGGGCTAACTGCCTGTCAGAACCAAAACACACACCTGTCCTAACTTCAGCACGTTCTTATCACTGTCTTTTTTTTGGGGGGGGGGGGTGGCTTAGTTTCCTGTGACCACCAGAAGGGATGAAGTATGTGAAGCCAGAGGGTTTAATAATCTGTTCCTTTGCTGTTTACTCAGTCTGCCCCACTTCACATGAGGACAAACCAAACCAAACCAAACTGGACAGAGGATAAGAATTGGCAGCGGGGACAGCAAATGTTATTATAATATACCAGTGGTAGTGAATCTATGGCACGCGTGCCAGAGGCGGCACTTGGAGCCCTCTCTGTGGGCACGCGTGCCATGCCCCGGAGATGGCAACTGCCGCTCTTCAACCAGCCGCCCACTAACTCACCGAGGTCCCACGTGGCCGGAGGCATCCCAGCACGGCTGGTTTCGCTCCCCCCTGTCCCATCCCTCTTGGCCTTGCATGCTCTCCTCTTTCCCGGGCACGACCCCCTGCATCGCCTCCTCAGCTGTTGGCCGTCTGTCCAGCTCAGAGGCGGCTTCTCTGAACTTCTGGTGGCGGGCTCCGGAGCCCCAGAGTCCACTGGTCAAGGGGCAAGCAGGCTGTGGCTGCTGACAGACACTGTTGGCCCCCATGCGCTCGCTGGCCTTTGTGTGCAGGGGCTGATGGTGTCAGGCAGCAGCCACTCCGTCCCCTGCCTCGCCCTGCAACAGTGGCCCCCCTGCCCTGCCTCACCTTGCCTTGCCTCACCCCTCAGGACGAGCCTCCTGCCCACTTGCCCCACCTGCCAGAGACCCCCTGGATCTCCCCGAACCCTGCCTGGCCCCCACAGGCATCCCTCTCCACGAGCAACAGTGAGGTGACCACGCCCACCTTGGCCACACCCACCAGTCTGCCATGACCACCATGGCCACGCCCACCCAGTGGGCCACGCCCACCTGGCCCCTGGTGATAAGTAAGTGGGTTTTGGGTTGCAGTTTGGGCACTCGGTCTCTAAAAGGTTCATCATCACTGTAATATACTGTAGTTCCCGGCCAACTTAACCTTTTAACCGAACTCAGTTAAAAAGCAGTTGACACTTTTCCCTTGAACTCAGTGAAAGAAAGCTGCCCGTTTAGTGAAAGGTAATACAGGGAGTCCTCGGCTTAACAACCACAACTGAGCCCAAAATTTATGTTCCCGAGCGAGAAATTGGTTGAGTGAGTTTTTGCCCCATTTTGCGGCTTTTCTTGCCAGATTTGTTAAGGGAATCACCGCGATGGTTAAATTAATCACCCAGTTGTTAAACGAATATGGTTTCTCCGTTGACTTTGCGGGTCAGAGGGTTGCCAAAGGGAGTCACATGACCCCAGGACTCTGTAGCCGTCATAAATGTGAGTCAGTTGCCAAGCGTCTGAATTTTGATCACCTGACCACGGATCGTAAGTGGGCAAAAACAGCTTTGTTCCTTTTTTTAAGTGCTGTTTTAATGTTGAAAGGTCACTAAATAAAACTATTGTAAGTCGAGGCCTATCTGTACAGGTAGTCCTCATTTAGCAACCCATTTCACAATTCACCACACTGATGAAAAGGTCACTTTATGATGAATCCTCACCTTTACAGTTTAACCGTCGCAAGTCTGTAAAGCAAAAGAAAGCTGAGGTAAGCTGAACAAAGCACAGTTGTGGTGTCACTTAATGACTGTTTTATTTAGCCACTGGGTTGCCAGTCCCAATTGTGGTTGTTAAATGAGGACTACCTGTAAGCAAATACCAGTCTATTAGCAAAGACGTGGAAAAACCAATAAAACTAGAGACTACTTTGCACTCAAAGAGTGCTTTTCCAAGTGTAGATTATTATTATTTTTTTGCATTATAATACAAATGGAACACAACTAATCAACTGCAGAGTTTAAATCTTAGTTTGCAGCCTTGGTGTGCTGTTTGTCATTGTTCTGTCAAAAATATGTATCTTAGGAAATTGGAGACAGTGAGTGCAGTCTTTCAACTGTCAGCCAGGCAAGGAAGGGAAATGAGACAAACCATCTTAGTTGCTTAACACAAATTAGCAGTTGCTATTCCAAAGCCACACTGTAATCCAAGTGGCATACCACATTCCCAGTATGACTGTGTGGTAATGAGTGATGCTAAGGATAGTGGAATTAATTTTCAGTCGAATTTCAATAAGCCACACAGAACTTTACAAATTAAAAGGTGGAATTAAAACGGAATAGCTTATGCAAAGTTTCAGCAAAACAACTACGCACCTACAATTCTAGGCATTAGACAAGAAGCCTTTACCCCCTAGCATTGTTTCAGGCCAGTGTGGGTCACATAATAACCAAATATTTGGTTGTTCTATACCAGCGGTTCTCAACCTATGGGTCGCGACCCCATTTGGGGTCGATCGACCATTTCTCGGGGGTCTCCAAACAAGGCGATCCGCCATTTTTCCCCCTCGAGGGGCGCCGCTGCACATGCGCACCGCGCATGGGGGCGCCGCCGCGCATGCGCACCACGCATGGGGCGCCACCGCGCCACGCATGGGGCGCAACCGCGCATGCGCGGCACGTTTGTGTGACGGGGGTCGCCGTCACACAAACGTTGAGAAGCACTGTTCTATACGAACTTCCTTCATTGCCATCTGCAATCAACAAAAACAAAACAAAAATTAATTGTTTAATGCACAAAACAAATAATAGTATATAACCATGCATCATTTCTGCAATAAACTAATTGTCATCAAGCCAGTTAAAAGTAATGCTTAATTTCCCATTGGACAGATCCTGTCATTAATCCCGCTGATTGTTTTTTTTATTGTCCAAGGAATTCTGTATTCCAAACCTTTTCAGATTAGTTGTTTCCACTTAAATTGTTTTCTGGATATTCCTTTTGTGTTCATTGTCTTCAGAGGCTAGGAATGTCATGTTTTTTCCCAGTGCAGTAGCACTTTATGCAGTGTTCAGCTGCTCTACCTTTTTATTTCCAGTAATCAATCAGACTAAAACTGGAAGGGACCTTGGAGGTCTTCTAGTCCAACCTCCTGTTCAAACAGGAGACCTTATACCATTTCAGACAAGTGACTGTCCAGTATCTTCTTAAAAACCTCCATTGATGAAGCACCCACAACTTCTGAAGGCAAGATGTTCCTCTAGTTAATTGTCCTCTCGGTTAGGAAGTTTCTCCTTAGTTCCAGGTTGCTTCTCTCCTTGATTAGTTTCCATCCATTGTTTCTTGTCTTGCCTTCTGGTGCTTTGGAAGATAAGTTGACCCCTTCCTCTTTGTAGCAGCATCTCAGATACGGGAATATTTCTGTCATGTCACCCCTAGTCCTTCTTTTCTCTAGACTATAGCCAAACCCAAATCCTGCAGCCGTTCTTCATATGTTTTCATCTCCAGGCCTTTAATCATCTTAGTTGCTCTTCTTTGCACTTTTCCCAAAATCTCGACATCTTTTTTTGTAATGTGACCAAAACTGGATGCAATATTCCAGGTGTGGCCTTACTAAGGCTTTATAAAGCGGTACTAATTTTGAGTCTATTCCTCTGTTTATACAACCAAGGATTACATTAGCTTTTTTGGCTGCTGCTGTATACTGCTGGCTCATATTTAAGTAATCATCTACTGCAGTGGTTCTCAACTTGTGGGTTGGGACCCCATTTGGGGTCGAACGACCATTTCACGGGGGTCGCCAAACAAGGCTGTCCGCCATTTTTCCCCCTTTTCTTTGGCCACGCCCCTGGCACCCAGTGATGTATAAGTGGTTGGGGGTCACCACAACATGGGGAACTGTATTATGGGGTCG